CCTTTGCATAGTCAATAAAACACAGGTAAACATCTTTCTGGTATTCTCTGCTTTCAGCCAAGATCCATCTGACATCAGCAATGATATCCCTGGTTCCACATCCTTTTCTGAATCCAGCTTGAATTTCTGGCAGTTCCCTGTTGATAAACTGCTGCAGCCACTTTTGAATGATCTTCAGCAAAATTTTACTTGCGTGTGATATTAATGATATTGTTCAATAATTTCCACATTCTGTTGAATCACCTTTCTTTGGAATAGGCATAAATACAGATCTCTTCCAGTCAGTTGGCCAGGTAGCTGTCTTTCAAATTTCTTGGCATAGACGAGTGAGCACTTCCAATGCTGCATCTGTTTGCTGAAGCATCTCAACTGGTATTCCGTCATTTCCTGGAGCCGTGTTTGTTGCCAATGCCTTCAGTGTAGCTTGGACCTCTTCCTTCAATACCAGCGTTTCCTGATCATGTACCACCTCCTGAAGTGGTTGAACGTCAACCAATTCTTTTCGATATAGTAACTCTGTGTATTCCTTCCATCTTCTTTTGATGTTTCCTGCATCATTAGAAGCATCAATGTCGTCATAACTGCATTAGGCAGTCACTAAAGCAAAAAGGATGTAAGGTAAATCGGATGTGTTTCTTCATTCCACCCTCCAACTTCCATAACTTACTGCTTCTGTGGCTGTTGTGAAATGCCAAATAGGGTTGGTAAATTCATTAACTTCAGTAATGAATATTGTTTATAATAACCCTCTCCTTTTAGTACCGGGGTGGAATTTAGTAAATGTTGTGGGTGATTTATGGACATACTAGATTAATGCCTTGCTCTCTTTACTTTACCTGCCTTTGGCAAGCAGATAAGATGGGGGTGGACAGTCCCTGGCATTTTATAGAGCAGTATCCTTGTGGATGCCCTTGTCTAACTAACTTATATCCTCCTCCTGGTCTATCCTCACTGAGCCAGATGACTTGGGGCTCTTAGGAGAGAGACCTGGTGGAGAAACATAGCCCTTCCTCACACATTACTTTGGATTATGAGAAAATTACTAGTCTATTTCAGTCCTCTTTTCCTTGTAAAGAGAAGCACTTTTCCTTGTCTTCTTGAATCAGATATTAACTAAATTGAAAGAGGACATTATTCAGAAAGCAGCATTGTTAGAGGCACTATGTTTTTAATCCTGTAATAAATGGCATCAGTATGCAAATAAGGATTTTAACAGGATCAGAGCATGAGAACCTAAAAATATCAGATGATTGAGTTTATGGTCTAGGCTCTGAGTCAGAAGATTTCTTGACATATTTAGTAACTTAATTAAATGAGATATTATCTCAGCTTTTACTTGTCTTTGTGAATTATTATTACCTAGTTTAGGAAATAGTATTTTTCTGCTACAAATTACCACTATAAATCTCTTCCTTCTGAGGCCATCTGCTCTTCCTTTCATCATCTACAGTTCTCAGCAGGAATCTGATGACTACCTACCACTTTATCCTTGAGCTGCAAAACCACAAGTGTCTTTTTTTTTCTTTAATGTTAAGAACTAATGCTACATGGAACTGTTTTAACCACAGAATTAAGTTAGCTTTAGAAAGCCAAGCATAGAAATGTAGGTCTCTGTTGTATTAAAAGAAAGGAAATATTAGAAGCAGTCTCACTGCTGTAATTCAATGAGAAATCTTATGACAGGATATTTCATATCTGGCAGCATTCTGCAAGGCTGCCTTTTTCTACTGCCTCCTGTTCTCCTTCTGTTTTGAAACCTCTTCTCCCACCAGCTGAAAGGACAGAGCCATTAACAGCATGGTAGACATGTCTTAGTTGACTATTCCAGACCGGCAGCCCCAAGAATTTGTGTCATGCTACTTGTGTGTTTTATATGTGTCTAGTCAAACTAAAAAATAACAGTAGTTTAAATATTAGTTTTATTACAAGTTCAATTTCCTTGTAGTAGGGTTTGATCTCCTGTCATGTATTATACTGAATATATAAACATTTTTGTGAAGCCCATAGATTAGAGGATAGGGGTTAGAGGTTTGTATAAGCAGATAGAAATTAATGCTGTTCTGGTGCTCTTCGGAGTTGGAAAAAGCAATTTATTTTTCATGCTTCACAGGCCTTGACAATTTTGATTTGTTTTCTTTGAAAGCAGACCTGTTTGAATCAGATGATGTAGGAAGAACCCGAAAGAAAAATCAAAAGCCAGGAGCCTCTTTTCAAAACAGTAGCCAATGAAAAGAATATGAATCTTCCCGATCTTTTAACTTCTACTCTTTTATAACCTCTTCAAGGGGGAGAGGCTGTCTGATTATCAGAGACAAAAGAAGAAACAGCACAGGAAAGAAACTAGGTCGGAAATTTATAGCTGGTTGAAGCAGCGGCATTGTTAGTGGAGATTCTGTCATATTTCTTTCAGGTTGTTTCTCCGTAATGTTTGTCACTCTGCCCATATAGTACAAAACTCTTAATTGCAATGCACTTAAAAGAACAGTAGGAAGAGTTTAAGTAAACTTTTTGGACTGCCTATGATATAGAGCCATGAAAGTGAATAGTTACAGATTTTGAATGAGAGGGAATGGAATAAGGCAATGGGAAAGATCTTTAATTCATGTAGAATTTTAATAAGCTGAGGAATTTCTTCTCTCTCTAAAAGCATGCAGGGTATTTTGTTTGTTACCCTTTGCTGTCTTACTGAATCTCAGGGTCTTTGTAAGCAAACTTCTGTAATGCTTTGCAAAGAAGAAAAGAAACTTCTGAGATTTAAGCTTGAAAGGCGGAATGAGACAACTCTAAAGCTATGGTTTGCTTAGAATCTACTGTTTGCAAATTTAATCCAGGTCTTCCACAGGCATCAGCTTGACATTAAGTACCCATTAAAGAGAGTTTGACAGCAGTTCTGAATGTGAGGCTCAATCTGAGGACATCTTTACAGCTGGAAGGGAAAAAAGAGTTGAGAAGCCTCAAACCACTGTGGTAATTAGATCCATTTGTTAACTTCTCTAATCTTGGGAAAGGGATGGGGAGTGAAGGTAAAGGCAGAAGCAGGAGGGGCTGGAACCAGAAGGAAGTCCAGTGCTTCCTATGGAAATTGGGCAAGGAGGGTCCTGTGTTATAGAAAATAATGGCAAATATCCCCTCCAGCAAATGAATAAGATGAGGAAATGATTTCAAGAACTTTATTTGGTTTGCCAGCAGAACCACATTTCTGTGGAAATTACATTTTTGGACAGGTTGCTGGTTTGGTTGTCACGCCCTTTGGTAGACATATGGCATTATATAGGAGTGGACCTCCAATGGTACATTGTTGGCCTGAAGAGTTAGTTTCTCACAAGGGTGTATAACTTACATTCAGATAATCACTTCTTTACCCAAAGCATCTGGCCTTCTTTTCAATATTGGGTTCTTTTTTGACATGTGGTTGTTGCCCTAGTCTAAGGC